TGTGCATAAATTTGTCATCAGTTTGAATGGGAAATATTCATCTAAAAGTAATTACCTTTCGTAGACTTACTTGGCAATATGCCTTAATTCCAGCCATTGTTCCATAAAGATACTGATTTAGTATGTACTTTCTTTCTGCACAAGGGAGGCAGTAGATCTAATGTAACTTCACAGAACACAGAGCTGGAAGTTCTGTCTTTCATTAACTTCTCCAAGCTGCCAGACCTGGATCTGGAAAGTTTGAAGAATGGAAAAGAATCTCAGACAAGAAGTAAGTTCCGTCTCAGGCTGGAATATGCATGTGCTTGAACGTTAATGGCAGTGAAGTGTGAATTCAATATATTATTTTGACGTGGATTGCTCTGGGGTAGCCTTTAATTCTAAAAAACAAAATGCTGGATCAAATGTACTGTAGTCTGGAGCCCGTGCTTGCTCGTCGGAGCACGAGCCCCGATACAGTGTCACACTGGCGGGACGCCCGGCAATGTTTATTTTTTCGGGTCTCATGTATGGAGATACCCGTCCGCTAATGGGTTAAAAGGATAAAATTTGGTAATTTTTTATTCACAGAAATTATCGTTCACAAGCAACAGATGTTACATTGGTTGAATAATGAATTGTTTATACAAACTGATATGGATTATTGTTTTATAGAGGTTTTATATGAAACACATGTAGTAGTTTTTCATTCATTTTATTTTGTAATTTATTTATTTTTATATGTACATTTTCTTCTTTTTCTTTTGTGTAATTGAAAGAGAGAGAAATGTGATGAAGTGTGGTGCAAAATTAATCAGTATTTTTTTTTTTTTTTTTTTTTTTTTTTTTTTTTTTTTTTTTTTTTGAAAGGTACAGCCAAAACTGAGGTAATAGCCGAAAACAGAGAAAAAGCATCTGAGGACATTAAAGTAGAAGCGAAAGAGAGCAACGGAGAGTCAGAAAAGATGTGTGTTGATGAAGAAATGAAGAAGGTCCCAGCCGAAGCTCCCAAGGAAGGTGCAGGCGATGAGGACAATAACAAGTCTGCCTTCAAGAGACCTCGGAAGGTGAGTTGGAAAATGAAGATCTCGTCACATTTATATTCCCTGAGAAGTCCATTTTTCAAATTGACTCACAAAATGAGTTCATTTAACAGGTTACTAGTGAAAAGGAAAGGAAGAAAATTTGTGTCATTGGACCAAAGTAATGCTGTGATCTAATGAAATTTAAAAACAAAAAGGGGAATCAAGGAATATCATAGTATTTTCAGAGATGTTAAGGGAAAATTTCCAGTCAGTAGAAGTTTTTATCATTTCTCTTCTTTTTTTTTGTCTCTCAGTTTGTCAGAACTCTGGTAGAAGACGTAGAAGTATCGTCCTCCGTGCTAGGTGGACAAATTGATGGCCTGGTTGTAGTTTGTCGACAGCATCCTGTTAATATCACCAGAGAGTTGCTTGAGTTCCTGAAGCCAGGCCACCCGTTTGTGGTGTTTTCCCCGTATAAAGAGGTATGTGTGGAAAGAAAAACTTTTTCTGTTTGATGTTTACCACATGTGGCTGTTGATGTAACAGAATTTACTTGTAAGCTAATTTTGTTTTATGGAGAGAGAAATACCTTTATTTCTTTGTGTGATAGCAGTAATTGAAAACTATGTGTTAATCTTAATTGAAGTGTAAGCAAAGTAGACAGTGTATTGCTAAACTGTAGCAGAGATATTGATAACCAGGTTTTTGGGTCTATGTGCATTTAATCCCAAAGCAACATCCATTCTATATAAAGACATGCCCAGGTGTGGACACAGGCAACCTGTATCAGTATTCCACAGGATGCTGGAAAATTATTGTGAGGTTTCCATGGATCATAATATAGATTTTGTGCTGTTGATTTGAAAATTCATTTTTGTGTGTGCAATCTGTATTTGATAGAAGTTGTTATTTATTATACTAATATTCCACTTCTACATCGAATCATGACACCACATCCTTTGAGGGTAAATGGCCAAGATACTTTGATTTCTGTATGGGCTCCACATATTCTTTGTATTATGACTGAATTCAGTGGGTTACTTTAGTTGTCCAGTGGTTTACCAACCCCTGACTCTCCTTTGACCACAGCTCCAACCACTGCTAGTACAATCCTCTCATCGATACTTGTTGTCAACTTAACTCATCCTGAATCATCTACCTAAGTAACTCGACCCCATTTTCACAATCGCCTCCATTTGCTACATCATCTTCCCTTATTACAACTCTTTAGCTGTATTGCCCTCCCTATCATAGCACTACATCACTCCACACCACTCCCTCTTCCTCCCACCCTCACCCTACCCCAATTCCCATCTCTACAACCCTTTTGAGTACTCAGAGTGGGATCAATTTTTTGTGATTCCCCCTGACAATACCCTGCTTTTCCAACAATGCCTCCAAAAAGGGCAAAGTCTCCTTCCACAACTATCCCAGTCGTTCACGCCATGTCACAGTTACACCTGAGTCCCAAACCTATGCATAGTCTACCATGGTTGAACTCACTGGTAAACCTATTCCTGCTAAACCCAACTCCTTCCTTTATACTTGTACCTGAACTTTTTCCATCTCCCCAGCTGATTGCCTGTCTATAACAGTCTATTTACACTTTACCTCCTCATAGAAAATCCTTCGTTTCCCAAACTTCCCTACCTAACTCCCCTCCAGGTACCTTTGACATCTGAAATTTTCTGAGCATGACGCAAGAAAATGCTTCTCTCTCTCTCAACCATCCTCCAGTTTCTGTACCCCCACTCTGTCTTCAATGAGAGTGACTTCTAGCATCCTATTCCTCCTAGCCTTCTTCCCCCCACTTTTCCCAACATAGCCCATCCTCTCCTTCATGCAAACCAAACCCCCGTCCTTTCCCACTGTCCCTTCCACTCCCTCCTGGATACGCACCATTAAAACAGCCATCTCCTCCTTTTCCTCTACAGAGCCCTACGATACCCCCTTCTCTGCTGAGCGCCTCTCTGCCTTACAGTCACAACCTTCTCACATCTTGTCATTTTGGATTCCATCATGTTTGAAGTTCAGCTTATCTGCTTGCACATTTTGAAAATTACATCTCTGCTTTTGCACACCATAACTCAGTACTAGCCATTTTCTTTGACCTGGAAAAGGCATATGACACCACATGGCAATACCACATTATACAGTAGCTATCATCTCATGGTATACAATTGAACGTGGGTGTATTCAAATTTTCCTCCTTAACGTTTTCATCCTTTCCTCAATATAAAGGTGTCCCACAAGGGAGTGTACTCAGCACCACTATATAAATGGCTGAATTTTGGTACTATCACCAGGTATCCAATCCCCCCTGTGTGTAGATAATTTTATTATCTCTACACTGGGCCCTTCCTGTCTGCAATATCTTTAACCTCTTCCTGGACCACTGACCATGGCTTCCACTTTTCCACATTCAAATCCTTCATCCTTTTTTCTTGTATGGGTCCTCAACCTCCACTCTGTATATTGTAATCCTGTCCACTTCTGCTCTTGTGGCAAAGTCCTAGGAGTCATTTTTGACTCCAAACTTTCCTAGCCAGACCACATCCTCTACATCCAAGAGAAAACCTGCTGCCACTTTGATTTCTATAAAATCTCCCTCATATATCCTGGAGTTTAGACTGTAAAACCCTCCTCCATTATCATACTTTGCTGATTCTCTCCACTCTTGAATATGGTTGTCATATCTATTCCTCTGCCTCTACCTCTCTTCTAACACACCTGTGGTCTACACTTAGCTCAAGGCACCTTCTGCTACTCTCCTGTTGAGAGCCCATACATTGAATCAGTCCTCCCTTCTCTCTCTGCGGAGCTATGCACATTTTCATAATTTTTTTTCTTTAAACTAACTGTCCCTTAGTACTTTCTTCCTTCCTTTACCTCCTCTCCATGCCTACCTTCTCCTTTCTCTGTTCAGATGGATGCACTCCTCTACCATTCACCCTTTCCTCACCTCCGACCCTTACCTTTTTCTACCCATAAATACCTGCCTTGGCTTATACCTTCCCCTCATATCTGCCCTGTTTTCCCTGATACACCAAATCAGACACCCGCGTTCCACCCTTGTGACTCATTTTCTCACCATACCTCAACTCACTCCTCCAGCACTCGCATTTACACAGATGGTTCCAAGTTCCTCTCTGGCACTAGTTTTGCTGTAATCTTTCCTTCCCACACTTTCAGATTTCCAATTTCACCTGAATCCAGCAGCCTTACAAGAGAATTGTGTGTGATCCTCTTCACATTAGAACACTTCTTCCCTTCCTCATCCTTCACAGTTTTCACTGATTATAAAAACTTGTTATCTCTCATACATTCTCTACATCCAATTAACCCTCTTTTCCACAAGATGCAGACCAACTATTCCATCAAGCCATGCAACACAAAATTGTCAGTTTTTGCTGGGTACCCAGTCATTTTGGGATCCCCGGCAACGGACAGGAAGACACACTAAATCTATCTGCTGCCATGTCCAGCCTCTGAGTACTACCCTCACTTCTAACCCACCTCAGTATCTGCTGGCAGTCTTTCTGGCCTAGCCTTCGTTAAATCTTCCTTCTCTCCTTGGTTAATGGCATCCCATAAAAAGACAAGCTGGGAAACTGCTCTTGCCCACTTATGCAATGGACACTCTCGCCTCACACATTTTTATCTCGGTGTCACAATCTGATTCACCTCTGTGCGCCTCATGCAATGTGCCTCAGTCCCCACATCCTACTCACTATCCTGTCCCCACTTCATGGTAACCTACATCTCTGCTTTTCGTCACCTATTCTCACTCCCCCGACCTACCAATTTATCAGACATCCTCTCAAAATCTCCTACCTTTTCCTTTGACAACTTTCTTCCCTTCCCCAGACGTATAAATATCCTCCATTTACTCTAATTACCCTCTATCTTTAACCCTTTCCCTCCTATCAATACCTATCCTCCATTTACTCCCCTCTTTCTACCTCTTCATTTCCATAGCACACTTATAATGCCATTTGACCATTGAAACTCCTCAAACTTTGTCCCATTTATGACAATTACTTTTAAGCTAGTGCTGTATGACTGTTGGTGTCTAGTACATTTATTTGTTTGAAATATTGAAAAATTTGTCAAGTGACCCTTAACAGGAAGTATCATTGTCATCCATTTCTGTTTTCAGCCACTGATGGATCTCTTTATGGAAGTGAAGGCCCAAGGAGCTACAAATCTGAGACTGAGCGAGACGTGGTTGCGGCACTATCAGGTCCTGCCCATGAGGACACACCCAGAGATAAACATGTCAGGAGGCGGCGGCTACATTTTATGTGGCGCAAGAGTTATGAGTCAGTAGCAGTGCAAGAAAGATAATGAAAGGAAAACTAATTAAGATATATTTTGATAGGAAACCAGTAGTGCCAGCATTCTTGACAATAATGTAAATTTTGGTAAATATTTTGTTACCTCTAAATCTCTTTCTTCAGACCTTTTTTTTTTTTTTCATTATTTGTTTTTATCATCTTTACATACATTCGAATATATTATGTATGGAATTATATTTATACATATTTGTAAATAAATGACTATATGAATATGTAGTTATGTGAGTTACTTTTTGTATGAGTTTATAAAAAAAAAAGAGCAGTGTGCTAAGTGCCTGTTATTTTCTGCTCACTTGTAAATAAAGTGGAAATTGTTGGTTCTACATTCCAAAAAAGGAACTTTTAATCTTTCATCACTTGTTAAATTTTTTATGTATTAGTGCGGAGAAAGATAGAACTGTATATTTGTCAGTATTAAAATTTTCAGACAACATATTGAAACTGTACCTTCCAGTCTATTTATTTTTTCTCTCTCTGATTAGTCGGCCTGAAATGACATGCAGCCACAAGAGAACAGAGGCACACCCAATGGAGCATGTACAAAAATATTCACATATAAAAATGTACTCACTCAAAAAATAATGCATGCAAACAAGTGAATACACAAACATAAATAAATGTGTACACATGGAATACATACAAACAAAAATTTAAATAGCAACCTGGCAGATACTTAGAGGAAAAGGCAAACTAGCAGTGAAACTGACGCAGCTATTGAGAAGTTACAAAATTTGAGAAAAAGTGATACAAGTTTTAATCGGGGCCAAAGGAACACTTGTGTACCCCTCATACATTTTTCAGTTATTATTGCACATTTCAAAATCATGTCAAAAAAAAAAAAAAAAAAAAAATGTAAGGTTTAAACCTTGGTGGCCATTTATTAAAGTATGCACAATATTTCTGAAATAAGATCTCTGTGGGACTAATTTACTTAAGCAATGGCATTGGTGGTAATTGATGATAGCATTGGTGATATTGGTCCAATGTTACCAATACCAAAACAAACTCTGGTGACGTTCTTAAGTTTTGTTAGTACATACAATTGGGCCGATAAAATTTCAAGCTGATCAGACCCCTCAATGCTATGTATAGATTTATTTTGTTATCAGTGGATGATTGTCTTTAATGATAAAATTATTGAAAATGAGATTTCAGTGCAAACTTATTCTTTGTATAGCAAAAAGTGACCGTTCACATTTATCAAAACCAGAGGTTCCAATCTTTTGTTCATTGATTTCTTATCAGATTGTTCCCTGATCACTGTATGTTTATTTTATATACAAGATTTAATAAATACTACCAAAGCCAGTACTGCAATTGATGAAAATTATTTAATTAACAACAAAGCACTTTGATACAACCTCCTTTTTGTGCTAAGATCTTGTATTTTCTTCCAAATTATACACCCCATAGCTCCCAGTCTACTAATCCAAATCTTTAAAAAATGCTATTTTGTTTGTTTGGCAACTTCCTTAGCTGGACTTTACTGATGTACTTTTGCTCCCTCTACTTTAGATTCACTACGATTCTTAATCTGATATATCAAATGTTAGAAGATATGTCTGGACTGAGATGCAGTGTCTTGCGGAAGAAATGTGCTCTCTCTTCGACCTGGAAAATTACCCAGGGGAAGGCTGTGTGAAGATTAATAACAGCCAGCCTAGGCCATTGGGTCGAAGACAGGTAAATCTTAAAATGTGATAAACTGAAAATTTAAAATTGCATTCTGTACAAAAATGTTTTACATCCTTATAGGTTGCTGTAGTCTCTACATTTTCTACATTTGCTTTAATTACCCAAATCCAACATATATAACTTACAGTATGAATGAACTATGACCATTCTTACACATTGTTAGTAATCAGGCTTTTGATTAGTCACATCAATCCTTTGAGGTTGATATTGAACTACAGTTAGATCAACTCTGCCCATCTAATTTATTTGAAGTTTACTTAGACATGCACCGAGCCTAACATAGCCTTTCCCTGACCAACCTAACAATCTTTAACTTCACCAGAAATTTTATGAAGCAAGCCACAAGTGATACAGCATAGAACCCAAAGATGAACTATATCAAACCAAAAAGGTGCGATTAACAGGGCAGAGGGGGCATCATCAGAAGAGTCGAAAGTACTGGGAAGATTGAGGGTCACTATTATTTTAGGGCAACAGGAAGCCTAATCCGGTCCTCGTACTGAAGTACTCTGTCACAAAGTCTTTCCATCCTGATCCCCGTTTTGAAGATCATAATGAAGAACATGAATGGCAAAATCTCTTCTGTCCCTGGCTCTATAATTGACTTTGTATATACTGGAATGTTGTGGATATGGAGGCTTAACCCGTAACTTAATGAGTACAGCTCATCATGTAGTATAAAAAACTATACATGTAGTATTGCCTCCCTCTACCTCTCTTCAAACTTTTTGATACTTCTATCCTGACCAGAAGATAGTGTGGATTTCTTAAATATTCTCACCTTTTACTGTTTTTGTATTGCTTCACCCCCCCCCCCCATTCCCTTGCCATTAAAGCAGTCTGTATGTTTGTGAGTATGGCAGTGTGATCTGATGTTCCCACATTACCTAAGGCAGAGCACTGGACTAAGGACTCTGGGAAGTCACTCAGAACGGGATCTAATGAAGAACCAGAAATGTGTGTTGGAAAATCAACATGATTGTGCATTCCAAACACAGTAAGAAGATTGTCGAATGCAGTTGCCACAAGGTATTGGTTTAAATCTCCTAGTATGATGATGTGCTGGCAGAAGTGTTCAAAAAGAATGCGGTCGAGATTGTCCCTCAGAAAATGGATCGGCTCTGCACCTTGCCATTGTGGCCTGTAGCAAATGCAGAGGAGCACCGAAGTTTCTTGCGTGATCCACATTCTGAAGAACATCAGCTCGAGGTGGGATGGGTGGCTAATGCATAGAGTTTCAATACCAAGCCCTTTGCGGAAGCAGACAGCTATGCCTCCGAAGGTAATGCCGATCCTGTCCCTACGGTACCACTGGGAAAATCCGAAGATTTGGCCGAAGTTAGATGGCAAAGAGTCATTTAGGGAAGTTTCAACTGTAGCAACAATGTCAATCGAATTTGGCATTACAAAATTGTGGGTGAGCTCCCCAACATTTGTCTGAAATCCTCTCAGGTTGGCTGAGAGAATTCTCAAATGATTAACATCCAGATGCCCTGAACGGGACATGGTTCCAGGACCCTTGGGTCGGGTGGAAGTTTGCCTGGGGCACTGGTGAGGGAAACTTAGTCCACTCGTTCTAGGAGGCATAGCTGGCAGAGGTGAGTGTTGTCGGAGTGAGGGGTTGTAAGGGGGATCATGAAAAATTTGGCTGGGCTAAACAGAGTATTCAGGTCTCTAGTGTGGGTAGAAGGAAGGGAGCGTGTGGAAGAGGGACTAGTATTGAGAGGTGGACAATAAGGCTGTAGAGCAGAAATAAGGGAGGACGGGGTAGTAGGTGAAGGAAGCTTCGCGGTGGAGGTGAAGTAGAGAATGTTGGAAGAGGAGGAATATTTTCTGGAGGATGAGTAATGACCTGGATGGATGATTTGGACTGGACTGAGGTGATAGTAAGTAATCAGACATAGTCAAAGGAGAGCCTGAGTCAGGGAATCGGGAGAATTTAAATCTGTGGGGCTTGTTAATAAAGATCAAGCTTCAGTGACTCTAATAAGGGTGGAAAGTCTTCATTATTGGCCATGGTAAGCCTGGAGTAAGTTGAGGACAGGAACAGTCCACCCCTCAGTGTCCTCTTGAGGTATAAAGGGCCACCCTTTCATTCTGTCAACATGGTTTAAGAAGTAGATAGTAAGGTTGGAGGAGAAAGAAACAGAAAGGGGAAGAAGAAAAGACCGTGCAAAAACAGTTGAGACGAGGGCTTAGGCAGGGGTGATCTCTAGCATTCAGTCCCAGTCCCCGTCTCCTAAACCCCACACTGCAACAACCAGCTTGGGATTGGTGGGGGCATCTTCCCGGAAAACTATTCAAATAATTCTCAAAAGCTACTTTGTGAAGGATGTTATGATCATACTGCAACTAATGAAAAGGCAACATTAATGGATTAAGGTTTGTCTAAATTCATGATTTTACTCAAAGATTTACAGGGTCTGTCCAAAACAAGGCAATAAATTCTCAACTTTGTCATTGTTTAGGCAGTCACATTCTACAAAACTTGATTAAACAGGAAGCTTACTTAACTCCTTTCCATGAGAAATACTTGAAATATATTCATTAGTACGACGGGAATAGATGCAATACCATAAAACAGACATGAAAATAGCCATTTTCTCAAAAATGTGTTTACTTACAAAATCCTTTGGAGTTTTTTTCTTACTTGGGTTTTCCTTCTTCAGCTTTTTAAAATGATGCTTTCCTGGTACACAACATTTTTTTATTATTATTGTTAATTGGCATAATAATGAATGTCAACGATATGCTCAAGGCCAGACCTAGGCCCCGGCAGCTGCCTTCCTCCTTCAGCGGACGCAGGTGTTCACTCTTTTCTCTTTTGACACTTCTGTGACCTTAACGAGCAAAGGCCCTGGCAAGGAATAGCTGTATAAAAGGATGTCTCATCAGACAGCAGGGGAGGAGAGCAGACAGACAACAGTCTTATTTGTCACTGCTCCGCCATCGGCACCCAGGGCTTGGGGTTTCTTGGGGTTTCACACACACACCTTTCCTAATAAACCCAGCCAAGAACCCTTTCATTACCTTGCTCTCAACCCCAACCTCTTATGCTGACAATGAAAATGATCTTTCAGTTTGAAGGAAATGTTATTAGGGTGACTCCTCAATTTGGTTCAACTTCTTATAATATCCCCAGATATGATTATCTACAACCATATAATATTTCAACAACCATTCATTTCACAATAGCTCTTTGCTATCTCTTACAGCTATGGCACTCTGTATTAGCTGGTGATAGTGCGTAAGTCAGTCAGTTTCAGCCACTAGTTTTCACCTACCCTAAAAATCGTTTGAATTCTAGTCATCCTCAAAGTGCACAGTAAATGGCAAAAATGAAAGTTCCACAAATTCTTTGTTTTTTATTTTTTTCACTCTAATGTGTAATGCATTGAAAGTTAGTGTCTGATATTTTAAAAAGATGCCATAGAAAAATAGTGTATTAGTTGCATACTACTGTATTTATTAAATATACTTTATCCTTGGAAGCTATAGGTTTTATTTCTATATTGCAAGCTTCAAAATATACATGCCGATTCCTGAAAAGCAGCAAAATCTATGAACGGAGTACGTAGACTCGGCACAGCTCTTGTACACTTTGCAATCACACTGTTGGATGACAATAAACTTCTGATTTTGACCCAAATAAAAATACCAAATTGCATGACTTGCACTCTTAGAATATTCTTTATTTACAGAACAAAAGTGACTAAACAACTATCTCTGCATGATCAAGTCATTAAGAAAACTAGCCATGCAAACTGTGAACATATTTCTCTCAAATATTACACTCTGTATACAATCCTGGCTTGATTAACACAGCCACACAAAGAGGAAAATAACAACAGGTCAGTTCAAAATTTCTTGTTAATTAACGATGAAGGGAAAGAGGAATATGTACAGATGAAAGTTAATTCACAAAAATAGATAAAATTACATATTGGCAAGAGATTAATTATTCAATTATTGTGGAATTACAGCAGTTCACAACGACACACATTTGGAACAATTATCCTTCACTCTCCTAGTGTAAAGAATAAAAAATAAAAATAAATACAGATTTGTAGAACAGCTTGGAATCCGAACAACTTGTGAGAAAGAGCATTTTGAACCTTCTGGAAGAACCTTTTATCAGTATTTTTTCTGCAATTGTTGAATTGTTCCATTACTACTAAATATGCATAATGTTTATCTGTTGTTTACACAGCAGCAGTAGATACAATACTTTCAAATTTGAATATATAAATAAGAATATAAATATGGGTTTATGTACTTTTAATGAACACCATAGTATTACTGCTTTAGTTACCGACCAAACATAGGAATGTTAGATGCCATAGTAAAATATTTCTATTCAAGTACACAAAATCTTACTTAGTTCACTTCTTCATGTTACTGCTGCAAGACAGCAATAACAGGAAGGTCAACTAAGTAACAGTATGAAAAAAGAACTAATGGTTACTTCAATTATCGCTCCATTGAAAAAAAAAAGGTTTAGATCAATATTTCAGCTTCTGAAATCCTACAGGATAGTGGCATATCATCAGTCTGACTTTGAAATGACTATCTTGGCCACAGCAATATCGGGTGGAAGAGCAGCATGGCAACTTTATTCATATAATATATTCTGCTACAAAAGAAAAGAATGAGCTTTTGGTAAAAGAAAGAAAAAAGGAAAAAAAAAAAAAAAATCTTACAACGATGAATGAAGTGGCAACATGGCACATGAGTATAAAATCCTCATTAAACCATCCATTCTTGCCTTAGTGCTTGGACTTCAAGATAGTGACTAAGAAAAGATTTGTTCCCATGATAACCGCACAACTGCTATGAATGAACTATCAGTGACTGCTGCCTTTGCTGATATGTCGTCTGTACTGAAGCAATAAAATAACATTGCCTCTTTTAAGCCGAAGAGAAAACACGAGCAGCTGCTGCTATAAATGGCAACTCCTAGAATAATATGAATCACTCTCAAGTCTCTCTCTTTCCTTATAACATCAGCAACCTATTAAAAAATGTAACTATTATTTATAATGACACTGTGAAGACAAATTCACCTACTTGCCAAGTTATTCAACATATGACCTAATAAATGCAATAGATATCTGAACCATGAGCTGGATACAAGGTAAACACGGCAATAAATCTGTACAACACATAAGGGGGTAGTTTGCTTTGCCTCTGTGCATGTGGAATCACTTTTAAACGTATTTCATAAGAATTATAAACTGCCTATATAAAGGGCCTAGGAAAGAATCTATACAAGGTTTATTAGTCCTCTCAAGCAACAAGAAAAGAAACAATTTTATCCTAAGAACCAAGTGCATCACTTTTACTTCCGCATTTGCTGAAATGATCTAAATCTTGAAAGCTACAAATGCAAAGCCACAAAAAATAGTATATGCATTTAATTTTTTTTTTCTAATAAAGACAAGCTAATCTTGACTATTCTTTCTCTCTTTTCTCCTGTCACATCATACAAAACTACCAAGATTCTCTACAAATTACATCAAAGACACAATAATAATAATAATAACAACAACAAATAATAATTAAACAACAATTTAAAAATTCTAGCCTTAGCATCTGATACTATAACTCAAGCTTAACATCATAGAACTGTATTCACTGCAACAACATGAATCCTCTATTTGGAAGACACGGGGAAATAATAAGCTCTTGGACACGGGGGAAGGAAAGGGTTTATACTATAAAGTACTGATATTTTCTCTCTTCTCTCTCTTTTTTTATTCTTTTTTCTTTTTGCGACAAAGTTAGTGGGACTAACTGGTTTAAACAAACACTCGGGGGGAAAGAGGCTTCATATAATAGTTAAAGTTTTCATCACATTGTTAACCAAAATGGAAGCTGAGGGAACACAAAGTAGCCTAGAGTACTCTCAGCCTGAGTTAAAGTACGGGACTGAACCAACTGCATGCCAGTCGACCAAATGTTCTAAATGACTTCCTTGAACTCTGATCTTTGTTGGGTATCCCATTTGCTTCTTGAGAGTGACCAATTTAACAATCGACTGTTTATTAGAGGGTACCCTTCCATAAAGAGCATAGCTAAGTTTGCATCTGGAAGATTCGGAACACCTTTTTCGTGTCATGCTGTCCGCAATCCCGCTAAAACATACTCAGGCTCAGACAACAGTGACTCGGCAGCACGCACACAGGCAAACAGTTATAAAATATCTTTTAATTTAGGCAAGCATTTCTTTATACTCCTCTAAGACATTACTTTGTAAAGCACCTAGCACACTGTATTGAGATAGCTCCAGAAAGGCGTAACCTTTAAAGGCACAATAACACGTAAAATTTTGGTCAAATACCAACATTTGCCAATACCAACTTGTGGTTTGGATGCCACAGTGCTTCCAAAATGCATATATGTATACACATCATTCCTAAAGTAATTTTACCACTGCTTTTTCATGACTTCTTGCCCACTGGGTTAATACAGAGAAAGAAAATAGTTTGAAATAAATGCCAAGTGTACAATTTGTCTAACGTCTTCATGCGGCAGAATTTAGAACTTGACTCTTAAAACTTCCTTTTTTAAAGAAAAAACACATAAGCTATCTCTTACATGTACTGCTTACAATAGCCAATACTTTGCTATTACTCCTTGACTTCCTTTGCTTGAAGTATGACATTCTCTGTGAGTTTACTGCCGAAACAATCCATAAATGCTTGCTTGAGCAAAAATTGCAGACATATATTGCTCTTATATTCATTTCAATCTAGCCCCATTTTGCATGAGTGTTGCATCATAACATATCACATTTACAGCATAATCAGCTAAGCTTCTCTAATGAAACACTTTTTATTTATGCTTTTCGACAAAGGATCCAAAGAGCACCAAATCGGTTCATTCCCAATCAAATTCCCAGTGACAGATTTGCGGAATCGAGGCCTAACAACAGTTTTCCGAAGAGCTCCCTCATTCACGCAGTCTGGAGCTGCGTGAGTCCATTCTCTTCATAAAGGCACCACCACAGGCCTCATTGTAGCCGACCAGCGTACCCCGGTTGCAAAAAAATAAATATATCACCTCAATCATCAATGACTGCTTTCGATGAGCACCAATGTATTCCTTAACATCCATCATTTTATCTTATAATAATATATGCAATACATAAATTCTGTTTTTGTTCTTGTTCTTGTTAATGATCACATTTATAATCACATTGTTATTATAGAACAAAAAGAAATCAAGAATACCATAAACTCAAAAATATGCATATACTGAACAATTTACGGAATTCAATCCATCCGCTATTCACTAATCCACCAAAGAGTTCTGGGGACTCGTCCCGGATTTCCATCGAATCACACGCCAAATAATCATTAATGCTTCTAGTCACATCAGTAAAAGATTAATAAATGCAAAACACTCTCCTTATTATTTTGTAAGTTCTTGTCTGGGTTGGCCACACAGAACTTTTATGGACAAAATATTTCCATTCTGCATACTGGGATACATATACAACATTCTGCATAGAGAATGTATTTATAAATTGAGAAATAAACCGTGCTGTATTACTACAGGAACATCAGAATAGACAGAGACTACATATCTAATAGGTACATGACCCTATCAGCTTTTACATATTTCCCAAAACAGTCACTAAGCTGCAGGGCAAGATATATAATCATTGAAAATAATAAACATAAAAAACTTTGGTTTTTGCCTATTAAAACTATAAGTTTTATGTTCAGAATTATGACCATTATTAGGTCAATGTACAGGAGCAGGTAAAGGAACGAGACCCATGCCACCGTGAACATCTTCAGACCAGCATGAATCTGGTACTCTCCCATGTGGGAAATCCTCTTCTGCGTTGAACCACTGGTTGTGAGCAAGTAATATTCACTGGAAGTGTGTCACTAAAAGCTTTGCAGCTTTGGCAATGTCATATGCACACTGTATTACCTGCTGTGTCACAAACTTTGGGTCAAAGAGTGTGCGAGTGTGAGGAAAGGTGGCCGCGACATTCATTCTGCAGCCGGCCAGCACTGCTCACCAGCTGGCGCAGTGCTCCCTGCACCCCAGAAGAGCACCGAGTCTGTGTGAGAAAAGCCACATTCAGAAAGATATCATGACTACTTAATCTAATGGAAAAAAAAAAAGAATTAGGACTATAGAATATTCAAAATTTAATAAGAATGAACTTCCTTGTCAGTATGTCTGATATATTCAAAATGATTATCTCAAGCTGAAAGAAAAAAGTTACAAGCAAGTAAATCAACTTTGCAAAGCTACTTAATTCAATTCAGGGTAGCATAAAAAGCACAGGAGCCAAAATGTTTCCATGTGGTACATGACTGCAGCAAACATAGGCTTGGAATAAACTTTACATTACATGATAGTATTCATCATACCACCTTCCAACACAAGTGAACTCCTGAAAACCAAATTCAACCTGAAAACAGTAATACAGAAATAAAAGAAAATGCCTAACAATAAAATAGAATACAAAATAACCAAATAACTTGAATAATACAACAGAACAACCAATAATACAAAATAGAAATGGAAAGAAGTACAAAGAAAAGTAAGAAAAGTCTGGCAGATGTGCAAGCAAACAGTTGGTCTAGACTGAAGACATAAACGTACTAAAAAGCATTGGAAGCTTTCCTCTGCACTCTATCGCAGGATTAGAGCAAATCTGCTGCAGCGACTACTAGAACTGTGCGGTCTAGTGACACGGACTTTCACTTGAATTAGCTGAGGGATGTACGTCTTTAACACAACTTTGCTGCCTCACCTTTTAAAAAATTCCTTGAGTCCTCTAAACTTATTCTGATTTTCCTGTTTGTAAATATATGCATTAAAATCAGAAAAAAACAAAACATCAAAACATATCTTCCTCGTATATTTCTACTTTTCTACGAGTTGACTACTATAGATACAGGGAAAGACAAACAATCAGAAGAGAGTTCACATGAAACAAGTGTATTTGTGAAGAGGAGATTCAGGCAGAGAATGATGGAAGGAGGAGATTCCAATTCTGTCTTACAAGGCCTGTGACATTCCGCTGGAAACAAAATGGAAAGGGAATGTAACAGTCCGAAATATCACGAGCACAGGTACTCTTCTCTTCTTGCTCTCTTTTCTCAATTTCACAAGACTGATTTTGAAAATAAAGGAAGTGAAAGAGGAGGTAAAAGAGCGAGAGGAAAAATATCGATACGTGCTGAAAAGAAAGGTTTCTGCTCATCTGTACAACTGACTGTCTAGAAACCATCATCAGGTTCCAGGTGTTATTTAGCCACGTCACTATGAAGCAAATAACTTTCTCTACGAAGCAATGAAAGAAAGTAACACTCTGCCATCTATCTGTCTAAATCCAAATACAAAATCCTCAACAGACAGAGCAAAACCAATCTATGAGGGGAAAAGACTAATAAATAATAATGAGACATACTAACAACACAAAACAACAAACTTTTATTCAAATATTCTAACAGCACAAAGCAAATAATTCAAATCAATTTGTTTTTATATCATCTGTCAACCAGGTTTTGGGGAATGGTTGAACAGGACAAGGAACTTTCCACTCCTACAATTTACAGGTAATTTACATGCATCTTGCATAACACATAAAAGTTGCTTTCTCCACTGCCCTAACTGGAGGAGGAGGAGGAGGAGGAGGAGGAGGAGGAGGAGGGGGAGGAGGAGGAGGAGGAGGAGGAGAGGAGGAGGAGAGGTGGAAGAGGAGGAAGGGGAGAGGGAGAAGGAAGGGGAAAGGGAGAGGTGGAAGAAGGAGGAAGGGGAGGAGGGGAGGGCAAAGGAAGAGGGAAGGGAAAGGGGAGGAGGAAGGGAGAGGAGGAGGTGGAGGGGGAGGAGGAGGAGGAGAGAGGAGAGGGAAGAGGAAGAAGGGGAGGGGAGGTGGAAGAAGGAGAAGGGGAGAGGAGGGGGAGGGGAGAGAAGAGAGAGGGAAAAAGGAAGAGGAAGAAGGAGAGGAGGTAGGATGGGGGAAGAGGGAGGGGGAGGGAGGGGAGGTGGAAGAGGAGGAAGGAGGAAGAGAAGGGGAGGGGCGAGAGGGAGATAGGAAAAGGAAGAGGAAAGGGAGAGGAAGAGGAGAGGAGAGGAGGAGGTGGGGGAGATGGAAGGATGAGGAGGAGGATAAGGAGAGGGAGGTGGGAAGTGGAGGGGAGGGGAGGGGAGGAGGGAGTGGGGGAGGAGGAGGAGGAGAGGAGGAGGAGGGAGGAGGAGGAGGAGGAGGGAGAGGAGGAGGGAGGAGGAAGAGGAGGAAGAGGAGATAAAATAGGAGGACTGAATCAAAAGTAGTTAGAAAAGAAGAGAGAGAAAAAAAAAACACAAAAAAAACAAGACAAAGAAGGAAAGAATTTGAGGGAGAAAAGGAGGAAAATAATTCTCTAAATACTCGTATACTGCCAACAACCTCCCCCCCCCCTCTCCAGATCCCTGTTCTTTGTTCATATAACACAAATGACAACCAACTAACCAACCAGCCAAACAAAAACCATCTAAAATTCTACCCTAAGCAAACAAATGCCCTGAGCCTAAAACTAAAACTAAAACTATATAATATTATATATATATATATTATATATATATATATTATATTATATATATATATAAATAGATACGATTCCCCCGCCTACGGTTTGCTAAACACCCGACTTCCTTTTCCGTCCTAAGCCTGTTTAGTTCTTTCTCCATTCCATACGAAAGCTCTGTGTAAAATAACTGTGACCCTAGATATGATCATCTTTTGTGGGGAGTTCCCGTGTGGCTTTCTCTCTCTCTCTCTCTACTCCCTATGTACCTTTGGGAAGATTGAATCCATGTCAAGAACGGCAGAATGGATTTGGTCGGCGCAGGGAACAAAGGAGTCCTGCCGTCCCTCTTGGGCTGATATGAGCAACTCTTGTATCCTCTTTGTGATAACTTCTGTCTTTCTTACAACCTGTGCGAAAAAAGCATATTAACATACAGCAATTATTCTTGACAAGTAGATTTAGCTCTGGGAAGTATAAAATCAAGTCCAGCTTATTGTTGTGGTAATCTTTTTGAGAAACACAAATCATAGATACCTTAATATCTACTAAAATTCTATACATTCGTCGAAAAAATACAGACCTTAAAGTATTCATGAACAGCATAAGTGCTTACATACCTCCTCCTGAGTTGGTAAGGACGTGTACGTAGGATTCAGGGGCGTGGTTTCCGTGGGTTCCAGACTAGGACTTCCAGTGCGAGTGTTGTCATATTCCCCAGATCCACGCTGTTATGAGGTAAAATTTGTATATTAGCTCTTGCATTCATTAAACTTCTAGCAATGTGTTCAAATACAGTTAGCATCTAAAAAACAGCAGTGATGAGAAAAATGAGACAGAGAAAGTGAAAGCAGGATGGGAGAAGATTAAGTTCAGCAGATATGTACAGAATAGTAGAAGGTGGAAGTGGGAGAGATGATGATGGAATAATAGAGAAAAGAAAGCATGTGGAAGACTGGGAAAGAGGAAGAGGGGAAGAAAATGGAGGAGACAAGGAGTGAAGGGATAAAAAAAAAGACTGGGAATGAGAGGAATGGAAAAAAAAGGTTCCTGTGAAATGCAGTCTTAAAAGATATCTACATAGTGTTCAGCTGATATGAAGTTGTCCTTGTTTGGTCCATAGCATGGGAGGGTCCAACAGAGCTGGGGAGACCTTGACGTTGTTCAAACATGCTGAAGGGTCTTTGGGCTGGACCTCTGCTGGTTCGCAAACTCACCTAGAATGCATCAATATCTGTCATTCCTTCTGTCTACTTTTTGGTCAGAATTTTTTACTCCATTCTAAACAATCAGGTGGTGACAAAATATGAGTAGCCAATAAGAATATAAAGTAGTAATTATTTAATACTTTTCCCTAATACATTATCAAAAATGTATTAAATGAGGTGTTCCAAGGAATTGCTAATAAAAGAAACTTTAATTTCAACAATAACAATAACAAACAGAAAAAAATAGCCTATATTGCTTTACAAATCCTTCACCATAAAATTGCCAAGACTAAAACTGGTAAGCAAAGAAGCTTTAGTTCATATCAA